ATTACAAGTTTCAAAAGCCTTCCTTTATTTCATAAAATCCATATCCAGTCAAATACTTTCATACAAATTGGGACGGAGAGAGTATAATTTATGTTAGGAAAATAAATAATAAGTTAGATTATTAGATATAGTTACGTGACCAACTAATGAATAGAGAAATATAATTAAGTAAAAAAAATAAAATAAGATTGACAGAAAACTATTTTAGTTATATTAATTAGAGGAAGAAATCGAGTTATTAAAAATTAATATGACAATAAAGAAATAAATTTATCAATAATAAAAGATAATTATATAAATAATATACTACTATATATAAAACAATATTAGTAATTTTGGGGCCTTTAAATATTTGGGGCCTAAAGCAAGTATTTCACTTGCTTTAAGGTTGGGCCGCCCCTGATTATACTGGAGTTCTAGCATAAGTATACTGGAACTCTAGCATAATATACTGGAGTTCTAGCATAAGTATACTGGAACTCCAGCATAATATATTCCAGTATAATATACCGGTCTAGCATAATATGCCGGAAGTTCCTACACAAGTGCTCCAATCTCCAGTATATTATGCTGGAACTTTTCGTGTTGCAGCAAAATAATGGTTATTTTTTAATGACTTTACAAACGCTAGCTATTTTTGAATGACCAGTCTGAAAACTGATTAGCCCGTACTATTTAGACCTTGCAGGCCCCTCGGGCCACTGGGGGCAACCCACTGAACCCACCTAAAGTCCCCCTAAGCCGGCCCTCTAGGTCTACTAAATTCAGCCTAACCTTAGATTCTCGTAGTTTCTTTCTAACTTCTTATGTACTATTTTTTAGTTTGTCCATAATTTTTTTATATTTTTGAAAGCCTCGCCTGTTTGAGCCGAAAAGCGTACCAACTGTTTGAGTTAGCGATCTGGATTAGGATCGGTTCCCAAGGCCACGCCCGACTTGGCTCCATAGACAGCCTTAGCTGTTAGAAAGCTAAGCAATATTGGATGGTTTTTGTACGCAAAATTTCACATCCCTAATTTTAGCTGATTTTTTGGAGCAATTGAACTTTTCCAAAGAAGTGATAGCTAACATTGGTAGATGCTGATGAGTTATCATTAGAATAATTATTCACTCATATTATTCATTAAAAAATAAATTGGATAATGAATATTTTAAAAACGGATTGAATATGAATAATAACCATATTATTCACTTAGAAAATGGATAACCAACAAATAACTAATGAGTTTAACTTTTATATTTGTAAAGTCTCAAATCAAAAATTTCTCAAGTTTGAGAGACTAGTAATTTTGTAAAAAATAATCATATTCAAGAAGCAATTGATAATATAGATATTCATATTAACCGTTGGGTAAACCATTTTTTATCCGTGTTAAATATGGAACGAATCGAATAATTTATCCATTTTTTAAATTATACCTTTTCGGCCCGCTCATATCCGACTGGCCCGCCCCTTTGCCAACCCTAGTTAACATGGTAACTTTGGACATGTTCGTTCCACGTGTCCAAATTCCGTGTGCTTCAGAACAACACCTGTGCCATTATTGTGAAATTCAAGAGTCAGGACTATAACTGTAAAGCTAAAAAGAAGTGGTGGATATAACACAGAAATAAAACTGGGACCTCTTTAATATCTCTTGATGTTTCTACTTTTTAAAGTAAACTAGTATATGTACCCGCACGGTACGCAGAATTATTATAAATAAAAAAAGTACGGTGAGAGATAATAGAAACCGATGTATATTACAGACTAAATTTACAGAGCGCATTAAAAAAAATTAAAGCAAAAAACTAATAGATGAAAATATCACTAAGGCCTTAAAAGAGAAAAATATGTCATAAGTACATCACTTAAAAGGGCTACAATAAAATATATCACATTTAGTTTAAATCTAATTTCAGCTCCAGTCCCAAACGAAGCTTAATCAAGGCGCCCCAACTCATATTTTAAGCAGCTCCAACATAAACCACATAGTTTCTTTAACCCTAATCTCATCCCGTACTTTAAAGTAGCCCCACATATAGCAAATAGCACTTGTGCAATATCAAATATGATGGCTGAAGAAAAATAAATTGGAAAAATCATCCCTGAAAGTATACTTGAGATCCAAAACAGGGCATTCCCATTTTCGCAATAATCAACAAATACATTTTCAATGTTCAATTTCTAATCAATGGTTTAATGCAAAAATAAATTACATAAATTCTCTATTTTCTTGAGGACAAAATCATCGACCAAGTCTTAATAGAATTAATATAACAGTAGCTCAACTCCATCATCCAGTTATTGCAGCTTGAACTTGTCATGCTAATCTCACCAAATGAAAATCTCTCAAAAGAATGAGCATTAAGTACTAATATGACATAATGAGAAATAGTCAGTAGAGAAAACATGCATAAAATAAAGTAACATGAAAAAAAAAACATAGTTTAACTATTAAAAAAATACCTCCAACGACCTTTTAAAGTGAAAAATAAGGATTACCCGTACCGATTATTTTCCGTCATTCTTGATAAAAGCACTTTCTCTAAAATATGGAATTTTTAAGTCGCTAAAACTAAGTAAAGTATAAACAAAAAGTATATAAATAAAAAGCTTTTTGCCTCATTCGTCAATTCTTTAAAATTGTTCAAAACTTCAAAGTACTACACTTACCATTACAACTAAACACTACTGAAGCTTAAACTTTTGGCTTAGCAAAATGAATGTTATTCATCTGTAAACACATTGATTTTCAATAGCAGCAAAACTTTTAGAGTTCAGATAAGTCCAACTATATTTTCAACAGTTAATAAATCAAGGCTTGCCTTCTAACATGATTTCCATATCCTTCGGAAAAAGGTTTTAAAGTTACAGTACTAACAAAAAAAAAAAAAAAATCCTCTTTTAACACCTAATTGAATAAAGCAGAACGCTAGGCTTATAATCATAAACTCCAAATTGCATTGGTTAAACATAATATTTTTTATAAAGGTTGCAAGCATCATGATGAGTATAAAGTAGATTTATTCTCTTCAAATAAATATTTAGAAGCAGCGATTCTTATAAATATGATATATAAGTTATGAAGTTAAAAGTCAACAATCAGGGTCTCTAAACATGAATATATACTATATAGGCTCGTACCAATACTTCGTAGTAAAAGAATAATCTGTATTTTTTGTTAGCTCAAGCAATATTTCAATTTTATAGGCATGATATCTAAATATTGGTAAAATCTTTTCTTCCATAATAATACTTCTGCAGAATACTTGTTTTACACCACAGTGCCAATCCTAAAAAATCTCAATAACTTGTAGGCGGTATGTTATTGCCTATGAACGTGATTTCTAAACAACAAAAAGAATACATGCACACATGTATATCCGACTTAATATTTCAAGCTTCTTATTTTAATTTAATCATTATTCTATTTTTTTAAGACGCATAAAGTAAGTAACTTAAAAGGAGCAACAATCATAAAGGAGTCCAAATATATATATATATATATATATATATATATATATATATACAAATAAACTGGTGCATCCACAATTTCAAATCGTAAATACGTCTCAAAATATATATATAAAAAAGGATAACTATGACGATGAAATGGATTGAAATAGAAGATCGATAGATTGATTTTCTTACCAGGAAAGAGATGGAACTTTTCTGAAGGAAAGTATGAATCAAAATAAAGACAATGATGATGCTTCTGAGAATCCTGGGCAGAAACATTGGTGGTCTAGGAGTTGAGATGCTTGAAGGAAATTGATAATTTTTAGGGCAAATACGCGCAGGAAGGGAGTTACATCAGTAACTTCCCAATTTAAAGTTATTGTTTGATTAAAAATATAGATATTTCATTATTTTGAAATTTAAATAGAAGAAAAACTAATTTTACCTAACTTAACTATTTTTGGCTTAAAATTGCCACATGGCATTTTTTCACGCAACACTTGGCAAAGTCTCATGGATGACTTTTTTCCTTTTAATAATAGATAGATTCTCAGTCCAATAATTTTGATTCCACTCCCTTTCTTTTTTTGGTTTTTCGCCCGGTGTCTGATACCCGCGTTAGGCAGGGACGGATCTATTTAGAAGGTTTAGGGTGGTACGCCACCCAGACGCTCGGGTAAAATTTTGAGCGTATATTCTGATATTTTACAAACAGGTCGTTATATATTATATGTCTGGCACCGAGACATGTATGATGGCTCTAGGTGCCATGGTTGAAAGCCAACATTCCAAATTCCACATTCAGGATCGAATCCCTGTTATTCCTTTTTCTTTCTTTACTTTCTGCTCCTTTTCTTAGTTTCTTGTATTTCTTCATATTTTGATTTCCTTTCTTAATACTACCACTTTGTTATTTATTCAATAATATATTTGCTTCATTTTCTTTGCATAGATCTTCAATATTTTATTTGAGTGTGATTTTAATATTTTCTCTTTTTATTCATATAATTTTATTGTTTCCATGATTTCAAAAATCTTTTATAATGATGGCATCAATAGACATATAAGGAGTGTATTTGATTATTTAAAATTTTATTTTGAATTTTGTGCATCTAATCACATCATTCCATTGAGCCAGAGAATTAGATCGAATTGGACAAAATTTATTCGGTTTGATGATCATACATTTATTTATGTACCAAAAATCTTGTAAATCGAACCGAATTAATTCAAAATAGATCGAACCAAATCGAATTAGTTCAAAATGGATCAAACCAACAAAATGTACATCCTAATTCAATCTCTTTCCCTAATAGTAGGTTTGCATTAAAAAGTGGCACCCGTAGACATCAAATCCTGGATCCGCCTCTGGCGTTAGGGCCCGATTATATCCGAATTCGCATCGGGTAGGACCCCATTCGGGGATAGTGCTCCCTACCAATTTTTTTTTTCATACCCAAGGCTCGAACCCGATACCTCAGATTAAGAGAGGAGCAGCCTCATCCACTGCACCACATCCTTTGGCGGTAATTCCACTCTCTTTCTATTAAAGGGTTAGGTAAGATATATTTGGCATAGATGTGAAAGTTATAATTATTTCCCTTCCAAAATAAATTACGTCCTTTCTAATCTAGGTATATATATCAATTTGAAACCATGCTAATTATTTTTTTTAAATTTAATTAGATCTCCTCTTATTCAATTTCTAGCAACAACACTTCTTTTTCACGAGATTAAAACTAATATATTTGAACTTTACTTATATTAGTACTTTCGGTTGAAGTCTTAAATACATATATTTAAATTAAAAATAAAGTAATAAAAACTGATTTGACTCCAAAAAACAATTAAATTGACGTACAATTAGTGAAAAATATATCAAAATAGAAAGATAATCCTAGAAAAAGGGTCACTGTTATAACTACCTATGGAAAATAGAGAAAAATCACGAAGATAGAATCGTACGTGAAGCACATGGGCAGATTAAGACGAATATACGTGAAGCACATGGGCAGATTAAGACGAATATTTCTATTTTCTAATAGTACTATTTATCCTCCGGGAAAATGACATTATATAGTCGCTTTTAAAATAATAGTAAAATATATATATATATATATATATATATATATATATATATATATGTATTATATATATTATATATAAAAATTATATAAATTTTATGTACTTTTTCGGCTATTGAATATAAATAATTTCTGACGCCAGCTAAAATAAAAGTGATAATACTCCTTTAACGTTTCTGAAGTGTACAAATATAGCCCGATAGATCAAAAATATTGAACATTGTCAACACAAAAAATCTCTTTCCACACTAAATATCAACTTGATCATATCATAGGTCAGGACAGAACGAAAAATCAACGTTTTTATTCCTCCTTTAGAAGAATACTGAACATTCTCAACACAAAAAATCTCTTTCCACACTAGATATCAGCTTGATCATATCATATCATAGGTCTAAGGACAGAACGAAAAACCAACGTTTTTATTCCTCCTTTATTCTCTTCTAAAGATTGTAATAGATTCGTGCTTTCTTTTTCCCGTGAGAAAACTCAGAAATGGAGGATTGTTTTGAGCACAAAATAGTGCCAGTGAATGGCATAAACATGCACGTTGTAGAAGCAGGTCAAGGTCCTGTAATTCTCTTCATTCATGGCTTCCCTGAATTATGGTATTCGTGGAGGCACCAAATTTCTTTCGTGGCTAAACATGGTTATCGTGCTGTCGCTCCTGACCTACGTGGCTTTGGAGATACCACAGGTATGAAATATCTTAATTTTGCTCTTTATTATACTTCGGAAAGGGAGTCATGGCGTAACTGATAAAGTTGCTGCCATGTGATCAGGAGGTCACGAGTTCAAGCCGTGAAAACAGCCTCTTGCAGAAATGGAGGGTAAGACTGCACATAATAGACCCTTGTGGTCCGGCCCTTTCCCAGATCCCGCGCATACCGGGAGCTTAGTACATCGAGCTGTCCTTTTATTATACTTCGGGGTCAGTTATATCCTTGCCGTCAGAGGCGGAGTCAGAATTTGAAACTTAAGGGTTCAATATTCAAATTCTTTTAAGTTAGTGAGTTCTAAATTGACAATTTAACATAATTCAATGACCTTTTAAGATAAATATAGAGTTTGGACAAAAATTATTGAATTCAGCCGAACCCGGATTGAAAGGGTAGCTCCGCCCCTGCTTGCTGTCATACGAAATTGTATTTGTCCTTGAGCCTAATTAACGGAGTTCCGACATGAACCCTAACCGAAGTATAACGAAGGATAATTCTAAATTATATCAGAAGTAGACAGGGGACCTTTTATCGTACAACATATCTTAATTTTAATCTTCATTATACTTTGGTGTTATTCATATTCTTGTCTGTCATATAGAATTGTATTTGTGTCTTGAGCCTAATTAATGGAGCAACATGGACCCTAACTGAAGTATAACGAAGGGTAATTCTAAACCATATGAAAAGTAGATAAGAGGGCCTTCCGTTGTACGGAATATTTTGAGTTTACTCTTTATTATACATTGGGATCATTCATATGATTGCAAGTTAGATCAAATTGTACTATTTGTCCTTGAGCCTAATGGAGCACTAGCTTGGACCCTAATCGAAGTATAACGAAGGATAATTCTATATCATATCAGAAGTAGATAGGGGACCATTTTTCCGAAGTATTTTGACATACTGGATCCACCCATCAATGCTATAGCTCTGTTAAGATCAAGGACAAATGCGATACAAGATTTGTTATTAGCAAGGGAATAAATGATCCAAAGTATAAAAGAGGATAAAATATTAGTATCGAGTATTTCTGTTTACCCATTTCTTAAATATTACTAGTAAGTTTCCAAGTCATAATTTCGAGAAGTTTAAAATATTGAATTTATTTAATTTGAATTCTGAATCTGCCTATGACAGGAGTATTGAAACATGACCCGAGTAAGTTCACAAGCTTACAAGTTGTGGGTGACTTGGTGGAACTTTTGAATACCATTGCACCTAAGGAAGAGAAGGTGTTTGCTGTAGGGCATGATTGGGGTGCAATTATTGCCTGGGCTTTGTGTTTGTTTAGGCCAGACAAAGTCAAGGCTTTGGTTAATTTGAGTGTGGCATTTTCTCCTAGGAATCCTAAGAGAAAGCCACTTGAAACACTGCGTGCTGTTTATGGAGAAGACTATTATGTTGTTAGATTTCAGGTTCTCTTTGCTTCCTTCATTCTTTTTATGTTTCATTATTTCATGTTAATTTTTTGACATGCAAATAGAGACGGATTTAAGATTTAAATAAGCAGTGCGTACATCTGTTTCCTTGCAGGGACGATATCAGCCCTTTGGCTACGATTCGGTCGAACCTATTAGCTTTGGTCAAAACCCTATATTTGTTTTATAAATTCATTGAATATGCATAGATTATTAATTTATAACTCAGTAACTTAAAAGAATAAGAATCCTGAACCCATAAGCTTTAAATCCTGCCTCCGCCTCTCCTTCCTTGGACATACTACATCTATCTAAAGATGAAACAAATTTAAATTTAATCGATTCAACCTTTATGTTCTCATTGCTAAACCCGTTATATATTTTTTGAAATCCTAGTGATTTTTTACATATATATCTATGTTTCGTGTAAAAAATATTAGGTTAAATTGAACCGAATATCGGCCTATGATATTCGTCCAGACACACACAAATGAAGAGTACTATATTGTGTTTCATCTAAGATCATAGAAACTCATAGTATATTTTCTGGGTGCAAATCCAAATTAGTCCACCATTGAGCTACATGCTTAAAGCAAAGGGAAAAAAGGGGAAAAAATCTACGAGTTTGGAGAATAGAAGCAATCTTTCCCTTTGCTTCCCTCCTCTTTTCTTTTGAATTTATTTAATTTTCTCTTTGGCATATTAAAGTACATCAACAGCGTAAAGGTTCTTTACATTTTCCATTTTATTTAACTTAAATTCAATGACTCTAAATATTCATATTGTTTATTTTATTTAGGAGCCCGGAGAAATAGAGGCAGAGTTTGCAAAAATAGGCACCAAGAAAGTATTGGAAAATTTCTTGAGTTATCGTAACCCTGGACCCTTATACTTGCCTAAGAGTAAGTTATTTGATGACAGTCCTGTAATTTTGCCGTCTTGGCTACCAGAAAAAGAAGTTGATTATGTTGCTAGCAAATATGAAAAAGCTGGCTTCACTGGAGGAGTGAATTATTACAGAGCAATTGACTTGTAAGTTATTCCACCTTCTTATCTTTACATAAATAGCCGGTCGAATTATTTATTTTTTCTAGTCGGTAGACATAAATTATACACAGTTATACACTTATTATAGAAGGCGAGCCTTGGCGTAAATGGTAAAGTTGCTGCCATGTGATCAGCTCACGAGTTCGAGCTGTGAAAATAGACTATTGCAGAAATACATGGTAATGCTGCGTACAATAGACCTTTGCGATCTGGCCCTTCCGCGAACCCCGCGCATAGCGGGAGCTTAGTGCACCAGATTTCTGTTGCAGCCAAATGCACACGCAAGTATACGCGGTCGTCAAGTAATAAAGTGACTAAAAGTCGGATATCGAACCCACAACGACTTATGATTAACTATTAACTAAATTAGACTATCCTAATTATCTAAACAAGGATTAAACGCAAAAGAAGTGATGCTAAAGTAATTAAACTAAAAAGAAATAACTAATGAACTTTAAACAGAGGAAGAGCAGATTTTTATATTATCAATGTGATGAAAACGATCTAGGGTTATGGACTATCTAACATTTTTATTGTATTCTTCAATTGAATTGACTAACTAATTTATCTAGTTTATTGGTTAACATGATTAATATTGCTCAAAAGAATCTGTCAAGTTCTTACTCGCCTATTCAAGCTAACCTAACACCTATATGTCTATGGAATTAGAACTAACAAGAACGCATTTATAATTCCTGTAAATCAACCAAGCAAGGCAATTAGGTATATGTCTATCATAACCGCAAATCCGTTCCCCGATGCCCAGGTTCAAGAACTTGCTCTACTCAATCCTATATGCAATCTAGAATTCTCACTTTCGAGTTCAATTCTAGATTCGTAGATAGTATTCAATTAGTGATCAAACAATCAAATAATTAAGTGCAGTATTGAATAAATAAACTAATACGATAAATCAAGAAATCAAAATCAACAATTCGAATAACAATATTCATGAAAGAACCACAACCTTGGAACGTGAAGTTTAGCTCCACATAGACATGGTAGCCAAACAACAAATTATACAAAGAAAAATATAAAAATTACTAAGTTTGGTGGAAGAAAAGATGAAACCCGGCCTCCACGACGGCTCTATGCTTGTGTTTTCCTCACAAAAATGTCCTCTCCCCTCCAAAATAGGTTTATGTTGGCTTTTTATATGAGTTGGGGGCGTCTTGGGGTCGAAATAACCGAGTCCCAGTCGAAATAGGACATATTCGCGTTTTGAGCGTCCAGGGCAGCGTGGGGCGCTGGCCCTGGACCTCAACTTTTCAACATTCTGTTTTGTGCGCCACAGGTAGCGCCCACACTGCCTGTGGCGCTCAATTGGGTCATTTCGCCTTTTCTTTTCATTTTCGCTCCAATTCGCGCATTTTCGTCCCAAATCACATCCGAATGATTCCTACACATAGAAATACCACAAATTGGCACAAATCATTATATTATATATCCGAAATCTACTAGACATGAGCATAATGTGAGGCAATATACATCAAAATATGCATACTTTAAGCCGAATATCAACACCTCAAACTTAAACGTTGCTCTTTCTCGAGTCAACCAACAAATAACTCTATCTTTGAGCACTCTACACCGATGACCATGGTTGATAGCAACAATTAAACTCTAGCATATGCAATCACATAAACTTCCCTTTGCTTATGCCATTCTTCAAAAATATTCAAACAAAGACATTATGCTTACAACAATCCTAGCCTCAAAAACCGACTCAATGTCACAATGCACTCATGGCTTGAATACCCAACATCCTTGAGAAGCCTAATAATGTTACCTATCCCTCGTGAAACTATGTGCCCTCACAACAAAAGCAAAGAGAGTAAAATCAATCCACACATTCGAATCTCATGCTCACATATATCAAAGAAAATCGCTCACTCTCACAAAAGAAATCACATGCATGTAATTGATACCATAAGCTTGCCCTTAATATAAATCTCTACTAATGTAGGCTCGCTCGATCTAAAATTAATTAGGACTTTTTCATGGTTGTAATGTGGGCCAAGAGACGGGTATGATATATTTAGGAATAGTAGTTCACTTTCCTAAGCACTTTAACACATCACATAATTACTTTGAGCGCATATTCTTCAATCCCAACTTCAATTTCACAACTAAAATCACTCCTAACAATGTTCCCTCATTCTTTAAGCACTATCATAATTTACACTCCACTAGCAAGAATAAGATATCAAGTTATTAATCTAAATTTTTCTTTCTCTTTTTTCAGATTCTTTTTTCATTTTCAATTTTCGCTAGTGGTGTATTATTTTACCAAATAAGTGCAACATTCTTTCTTTCATTAGTTCCACTCAAAAGTCACCCCACACTTTGTCCCTTCTTACTTCGTTTAGCGCTCATTTTACAATTAAAGTGCTTTAAGAGGTAAACAGATCAAAACAATGTCAATTAAAAATTAAAAAAAGGTATAGGCTTGTAACGTGGGTGCCAAATAAAAGTCTATAGGCTTAAAATGTTTAACTAGGGATAGATTTTATTTGTGATAAGCAATTAAGCTCAAAAAAATCAAAGAAAGCCTAAAATCATTTCTGAAACCGAGCATCACCTAAAATTTCGCTTCAACTCACATACCGGGCGAGTTCTAGACACAAGCACAATAACATGGACTATACAAAAATCTCACCACACATGGCACATGACTCACTAAGGACGGTCTCATTCTGACTCTCAACAAATGCAAGTATTCACGGAGCCACGAGATATTAATCATTAAGCACAAAGTGAACAATGGTCAAATAAATGAGACGTAGGCGTCACAAGACATGCAATACAATCAAGCAAGACATCATCAATAATTTCAAATCATAGGGAAGATACTACACATGCTAAAGCCTAATATGCTACTATCAAACAAGTCAAGGCGCCTAGGAATATCATATTTCTTCCTCCATTTATTTCCTAAATCCTACTCTACTCTAAAAAAATTAATATTATGACTCGGTTCAAACTACATCCCATGAAAAAGAATCGAGGCACAAAGAAAAACCACGGGGGATTATTACTACCTAAAAAAATAACATAATAAAAAGTCATATTTTTGGATTTTTTTTTCTATTTTTCAATTTTTTTTGACTTTAATCCCTCAAGAAAGTTTTCGAGGAGATCCATCATCGGGAAAAGTACAAATTTTCTACTTTATTTTTCGATTTTTTAATTTATTTTTAAATTAAGTTACTAAAACTACTACTCTATACTACACCATTAATTCTACTAACTATGCATTAAAAAATATAAGAAGCTAGCTAACAATAAAATGAGAAAAAACTAACAATATACTAATATAATACTATATAAACCACATAGAATCTTTCACCCCCACTTAAAAGAGTGCAATGTCCCCAATGCACTAATATCGCAAAAATAACAAGGGTGAACAAGAAACTCCCTGTGAGGCCAAAGACCGAAGCAATAGCAGCTCACGAAGTACTCAGACTTCTCCACCGGGTGGTCCTTTGTGCAGGTACCTCACACTAGTTCCAACCATCTGACTCATATTTGCACACTTCCAATGGTTTTTCTTCTATGCTCATAATCCTACAAAATAAAAACGATACTACAAAGATAGAAAATTAAAATAAACGAAAATAGATAAAAATAAAAGAAAGAAGTAAATATGGGGTGCCTCCTAACAAATGCCTAGTTTAACGTCGCGGCACGACGTGAACCACTTTTTTCTCCACCTTGAACTTATGAATTATACCCTAATTAATTTCAAGTTTTCTGCTATGCTCTTTGGGCGGTGAGACAAATTTAATTGGGCCAAGCAACCAATAGCGCGTTTTACACTTCTTGGCCTTCAGATGAGGTATGTAATTCTGTCTCTCTGGCACGGCGAATTCAAGAATATAAGCACCCCGTTCCTCGTCCATTGGCTCCTCCAAAGGCTCAGATGACTTGATTTCCATGTCATCATCCAAACACAATGTTGAAAAATGTATGGAATGAGGACCGATACACCCTAACTCTAGAATTGTATTACTCTTTACATCCTCATATGTATACACACTAGAGTTTTCAAATATAATATTATCTACTTCCTTACACGACTCTAGAGTGCTTTCCTTAACACGGACATCATCAATACAATTATGGCCGAATGATTTACTCTCCATTTTTAGTTCCTCAATTTGGCGTATAAGCTTCTTTTCAGCTACACACAACTCATAACTATTTTGTTGGGCGTTAGACGCATCAACCTTTGCAATCAATTGAGCTCCCAAGTCATGAATATCAGTGCCGACATTTTCAAACTCTTGCCCGAGTTCAGCTCTTCCTTCTATTAAGTCTTTCATCCCATATGTAATTTTCTCACGTTGAGCCTCATATATTTCCAATATTTCAGCTTGTTCTACCAGCTAAGTTTGACTCAAAATCTCCTCTTTTTCAATATTTTCCTCTTGCTCGTACTCGCTCTCTTTATTTAATTCTTCCAGATTGGCCTTCATTCTTGTGATTGATGCCCTCATTCTTTTCATATCTTTTTTGAGTTCATCCTGTTGCTCTGTTATTTGCCTCAAAATATTCCTAATATATGCATCCGGTTCCATCTCCTACACTTCATTGCCCCTATCAAACTCACAAACATCATTAGAAAGATCATAATAAGGGCTTAGAGAAGGATGAAAAGAATTAGGACAACCATCCCACTGGCCATCTTGACCACCACACATATTATAAATATTCCACTCAAAGGATTGAGATTATGCGCACAACTCGCTCCGGGAACATTCTGATAATTTTTCCACCAGTGGGGTCCTCCACAATATGGACAAGGATCATCAAAATAAGAATAACCATCATTCGAATAAATTTCATTTCAAGATGCCATGTTAAAATAAATAAAGAAAATACTAACTAAACTAAATAAAAAAAACATGAATAGATATAAAACAATGTCTAATCTAGAAAAATAGCTAATTTCTAAGTCCTCGGCAACGACGCAAAAAACTTGTTGCGGCCAAACGCACACGCAAGTATACGCGGTCGTCAAGTAATAAAGTGACTAAAAGTTAGATATCGAACCCATGAGAACTTGTGATTAACTGTTAACTAAATTAGACGATCCTAATTATTTAAACAAGGATTAAACCCAAAAGTAGTGATGCTAAAGTAATTAAACTAAAAAGAAAATAACTAATGAACTTTAAACATAGGAAGAGCAAAATTTTATATTATCAATGTGATGAAAACGATCTAGGTTATGGGCTATCTAACATTCCTATTGTATTCTTCAATTGAATTGACTAACTAATTTATCTAGTTTATTGGTTAACAGGGTTAATATTGCTCATAAGAATCTGTTGAGTTCTTACTCAACTATTCAAGCTAACCTAACGCCTATATGTCTATGGAATTAGAACCGACAAGAACGCATTTATAGTTCGTGTAAATCAACCAAGCAAGGCAATTAGGTATATGTCTATGCTAATCGCGAATTCGTTCCCCGATGCTCAGGTTCAAGAACTTGCTCTACTCAATCCTATATGCAATATAGAATTCCCACTTTCGAGTTCAATTCTAGATTCGTAGATAGTATTCAATTGGTGATCAAGCAATCAAATAATTAAGTGCGAGATTGAATAAATAAACTAATACGACAAATCAAGAAATCAAAATCAATAATTCGAATAAACATGGTAGCCAAACAACAAATTATATAAAGAAATATAAAAATTACTAAATTTTGTGGAAGAAAAGATGAAACCCGGCCTCCACGACGGCTCTATGCTTGTGTTTTCCTCACAAAAACGTTCTCTCCCCTCCAAAATAGGTTTATGTTGGCTTTTATATGAGTTAGGGGTGTCTTGGAGTCAAAATAACCGAGTCCCGGTCGAAATAGGACATGTTCGCGTTTTGAGCGTCCAGGGCAGCGTGGGGGGCTAGCCATGGCCCTCAACTTTTCAACATTCTGTTTTGTGCTCCACAGGTAGTGCCCCACACTGCCTGTGGCGCTCAACTGGGCCATTTCGCCTTTTCTTCCCATTTTCACTCCAATTCGCGCATTTTCGTCCCAAATCACATCCGAATGATTCCTACACATAGAAATATCACAAATTAGCACAAATCCTTATATTATACATCCAAAATCTACCAGACGAGAGCACAATGCGAGGTAATATACATCAAAATATGCATATTTTAAGCCGATTATCAGTTTCCCTTTTTAATCGGTATACATATACACAATTATGCACTTATTATACATGAATTATAGTCTTGGCGTAATTGGTAAAATTGTTGCCATATGACCAGGAGGTCACGGGTTCGAGCCATAGAAACAATCTCTTGTGAAAATACAGGGTAAGGCTGTGTAGAATAGACCCTTGTGGTCCGACCTTTTCCCGAACCCCGCGCATAGCGGGAGCTTAGTGCATCGGGCTGCCCTTTTTAGTCGATATATATATGCATGAATATTTGTTAGATGAATTATTATACATGAATTATACATATATTATATATCCATCGATTATGTTTAGTTTAAGCGGTTGAGTGGGTGACTGAATAAGTTAATTCTTCTTCCTTATTCATATAATAACCATTTTCAGGTTTCTACCATGTATAGTTAATTCATATCTTAGCTAAATAGTATGTTTGAAACTTCTCATTTTGAGGGGAGTTAATATTACTTCGACTGGATATTATAATCTAACAATGACACTATTATGGATATTCTGACAAATATTTTAGACACTCCATATAGTTGAGAGTGAATTTTCAAACATAATAAATACATTCATATCCGTCTTTATTTGACGTCATGAATGGATTGAATAACAATTTTTCTGTACAAGAAAATTCGTTACTTTAGCATTTACAACAACTACATTACGTGAGTTCTGCCGATACCTATCTATAGAGAAACTGTAAAAAGGTATAAGCGACGTTGACTTACTAGGTTTATGATTGAGCTCAATCCAGTTTCAGGCGGAGACTGCAAAGGTTATGATACGAACCCACGGGGCTAGAAATAGAGAGATTGGGGTTAGATTCAAGAAAATTCGTTACTTTAGCATTAACAACAACTACATTATACGAGTTTTGCCGATACTTTCTATAGAAAAACTATAAAATGGTATCAGCGATGTTGACTTTCTAGGTTTATGGATTGAGCTCAATCCAGTTTCAGACGGAGACTGTAAAAGTTATGATAGGACTAGAAATAGAGAGATTGGAGTTAAATTCAAGAACTTCTCTCGCATTTGTTTAAATTATCTGAGCTATTTACAAGCGGTTTTGTTTTGGGTGCTTTAATAAAAAAATAGTTTATTTGGTTTTGAATTGCAGAAATTGGGAATTGACAGCAGCATGGACTGGTGCAAAAGTGAAAGTACCAGTAAAATTTATTGTGGGAGATTTGGACTTAACTTACAATGCCCCAGGAGTCAAAGACTATGTACACAAAGGTGGGATGAAAAAAGATGTACCTTTGCTAGAAGAAGTGGTTATATTAGAAAATGTTGGCCATTTCCTCCAACAAGAAAAGCCTGATGAAATTAACAAACATATTTATGCCTTTTTCCATGGTTTTTCTTCATCTGCTTAAAGTTTAAGTTTAACCCTTTTAAGTTTGATTTTGGGGATATAATGACTTATGGGAGATGCTCCGTTTGTTCCTTTACTTTGCTTATGCAATATCAGACCGCAGTGGCATATGTAAGATTTTATGCAAGTAGTGCCGGCCTATCACAACTCGGCTTGTAACTGTGTCTAGACTATGTGGTTTTAAAAGGTTACTTTTTATTTCAATTTCTTTGGATTATTTTCAAGCGCTATCGGTTTATTCTATGTATACATGTTATTTTTCAAGAATACACATATATAACGTTTGGCATTCCCTTACTGTTCTTTTTAGTGACAAAGTTTTTCATGTTAAACACGTAGAAAATAGGCTTTGCTACAAGTTAGTTGATGAAAGTTTGAATGAATTGACTATTAATGTTAACAAGCTGGGGACATGCACTATGAGTAGAACTCGTTCGAAGAATTAATTTAAAATAGCTGCTCATCTAACCGCTTAAACTAAAAATTATTATTAGATATATAATATATATAATTCATGTATAATATGTATATAATCGTGTATGATTTGTGCATAATTTATGTATACCGGCTATGAAAACTAAATAGTAAACCCGACTGGCTATTTGTGTAAAGATGCCAATTCTTTTTTCCAAGACACAAATATCGTTCAATTGGCAGCCCAGTAACGAATAGCTTTACGCAAGCCCAGAAACGAGGGGCAAGTGTGTAGATAGCCATTCTCAGGGATGCTATTTAGAGATTAGCCAGTATTTATTTTGTCATGAATTTTAAACTAAAAAACCTAACTTCAGAAAAATGTAAGACATTTTTTGTCCTAAAATTTTGAACTGAAAAACTGAAACTCAGGACGCACTAACTAATTCCTAAATAGAAGCCTTTAGAGTGGCTACCTGGTGTCATTTTTCTACCAGAAAATGACTAGTAGTTTCGTAAAAATAATACTGTATAATCATTCTNATATATATATATATATATATATATTACTTTTGCGACTATCAAATATAAATAATTTCGCCTGCGAGTTAAAAGTAATTTTTTTACCCAATAGTTTCACTATACACACACACACACACACACACACACACACACACACACACACACATTTTGAGTGAGTGTAACGACCCGACCGGTCATTTTGAGTATTACAATCCTGTTCCCCCATTTACTGCTAAATTTATGCTTTAGAATTGTTATGTGACGCGCCAGGGTGATTAGTTCGGGTCCGGTGAGGTTTTGGAATGAATTGGAATATTTAGTTCCAAGGTTTAAAGTTTAAGTTGAAATAGTGACCGGATGTCGACTCATGTGTAAACGACCCCATGATAGAGTTTTGATGATTCCAGCAGCTCCGTATGGTGATTTTGGATTTAGGAGCGTGTCCGAAATTTTATTTGGAAGTCCGTAGTTAAATTAGGCTTGAAATGGCTAAAATAGGAATTTAAGTTTGGAAGTTTAACCGGGTTGTTAACTTTTTGATATCGAGGTCGGAATCTAGTTCTGAAATTTTTTATAGATCCGTTAAATTTGAGGTCAATCGGAATTGATTTGATAGGTTTCGGCATCGAATGTAGAAGTTGAAAATTCTTAAATTCCTTAAGCTTGAATTGGGGTAAGATTCGTGAGTTTAGTGTTGTTTGATGTGATTTAAGGTTTCGACTAAATTCGTATGATATTTTAGGACTGGTTGGTGTATTTGGTTGAGGTACCGGGGGCCTCGAGTGAGTTTCAGAAGGTTAAGGAATCGAAATTTGGACTTAAACAACTGCTGGAATTTTTAGTCATCTGGTGCAATCGCACCTGCAGAATTGTTACGACCCAAACTCCCTCCGTATAACGTCGTGACGACACCTAGTCTCTACGACTAGGTAAGCCTAACAAATTAAGAAAAATAACAAAACGAAAGTAAAACTTGGCAACTAATAGCAGTGGATAATTGAGTAACTAGTAACAATGACGCTCGGCATGTACAATAACCAATACTCTATAAATACACAGTCTTCCCAAAATCCGAAACATCGTAAGTCACAAGCTACAGAAGGAAACTAGAATCTCTATACATCAGAGTTTAATAAAAGAAATACAGAAGGTAAATGACATAAAAGAGAATAGAGGGGGACTCCGAGGTCTGCGGACGCGACAAATGTACGTTGAAGTCTCCGTACAACAACAAGCACCCTCAGCTAGTAGCGGGGCTGATAAGAAGTACCTAGATCTTCACACAAAACATGTGCAGAAGAGTAGCATGCGTACACCACAACAACACCCAGTAAGTGCCAAGCCTAACCTCGGTAGAATAGTGACGAGGTCAAGTCAGGCCCACTGGTAAATAATAAATAGGGCAGGAGAATATACAGTATAATAAAAGACTAGAATTTAACCAAAGTAAATACAACAAGGCAACAATACAACACACAAGGGTAAACAACGGGAGATCTCCCGAGATACAGTCTCGTAGTCTCAAAAGTAAATATACAAGGAGAACTTCCGAGGTACCGCCTCGTAGTCTCAAAGGTAAATATGCAGGGAGAACTCTCGAGGAATCGTCTCGTAGTCTCAAAAGTAAATGTGCAGGGAGAACTCCCGAGGAACCGCCTCGTAGTCTCAAAAGTAAATGTGCAGGGAGAACTCCCGAGGAACCGCCTCGTAGTCTCAAAAGTAAATATGCAGGGAGAACTTCCGAGGAACCGCCTCGTAGTCTCAAAAGTAAACACATAGCTCAAACCGATAAATACAACAGTTAATAACAAGATTTCTACAGTTATACTGATAAAGAACAAGGAAAAATAGAAAATCAACTAGGCATGCTTCAGAGAGTTCAAATGAGCAGTTAACGCACGTAGACATGCGATATTAGATTAAACAGGATAACTACACATATTGGAATAACTCAATTACGAATGAAAATAGACTAATACTTATTTAAACGATATAACTCAAATTAAAGGAAAAACAAGTTGCTACTCAGTAAAATAAATCAGGTTTTACAATAAATAGTCTGTGTATGTACTCGTCACCTCACGTACACGGCGCTCACATATCATAACAGTACCAAATCCTAAGGGGATTTCCCCCACACAAGGTTAGACATGTCACTTACCTCGAACCAAGCTCAATCAATCGATAACAATGCTTTTCCACGAATATCCGACTCCGAATGGACCAAATCTAGTCAAAAATAATTACATATAATAAATACAACTGTAATAAACTAATCTAATTAATGAAATCAAGACTTTAACAAAAATTTCGAAATCCGTCCTTAAAAGACGACCTAGGCCCACATCTCGGAATCAGGTAAAAGTCACAAAATACGAACACGCACTTGACCACGAGTTCACCTATACCAAAATTACCAAAATTCGATACCAATTCGCCACTCAATTCCTCAAATCAACTCACCAAATCCCTAACCTCAAACTCCTAATTTCCACCTTAAATACATACTAACTAGGTGGGAAAATAAATGGGGAAGCAATATTATTGATCAAAAATAAGCACAAGGGACTTATCTCAAGAAATCCCTCAAAAATGCCCTCAAAACTCGCCCTAAACTGAGTTTGCAAAGTCCAAAATGACAAAAATCACGAGGCCCTTCGGTTTTAAACACTGCCCAGACTTCTCGCTTTTGTGGTCACATTAGCCGCTTCTGCGGAACTGCTTTTGCGGTACGACCCTTGCATCTGCAGAGGCCACTAAGCCACACAATTTTTTTTGCGATCATAACCCCGCTTCTGCGCAACAAAACACGCTTCTGCGGACCAGCCTCAAACTCCCGCGTCCGCTTCTGCGACCCTCCAAGTGTAGGTGTGAGTTCGCTCCTGTGGAACACCCTCCGTATCTGCACTCCACATCCCCCAGTCCAAACCTTCACATCTGTGCAACCTGGCCCGCACCTGCGATCAAAGCTTCGCAGGTGCGGTTACACCACCAGAGTCCTACTTCAGCCATGCACCAAGTCCCTTTTTCGATCTGTTAGCCATCCAGAATCCACCTGAGGCCCCTAGGACCTCAACCAAACATACCAACAAGTTCTAAAACATCATACAAACTTAGTCGAGCCCTCAAATCACATCAAACAATGCTAAAACATGAATTACCCTCCAATTGAAACTTAATGAACTTTGAAACTTAAAACTTCTATAACCGATGTCGAAACCTACCAAATCATGTCCGATTCATATCAAATTTTACACACAAGACATATTCAACATTACGGACCTACTCCAACTCTCAGAATCATAATCCGTCTCTGATATCAAAAAGTCCAGTTTCGGTCAAAATATCAAAAAATTCGACTTTCACCATTTCAAGCTTAAATCAGCTACAGACCTCAAATTCACAGTCCAGACATCTCCCAAGTCCAAAATCACCCAACGGAGCTAATGGAACCGATAATACTCTATTCCGGAGTCGTCTTCACATAGTTCCAACTACAGTGAAAATCATTAAGACTTAAGCTTACATTTTAGGGACTAAGTGTCTCAATTCACTCCGAAACCACAACAAAACCTCCCGACAAGTCACATAAGCAGAAAAAGATACGGGAAAAATAGTACCAAGTCATCAAATTCCCAACTCCATGGGGGATATTCAGTATACGAGGAGAACAACGTATATCCCGGGATTGCTACCGCATCGCTCTAGACTTCACAGTCACTCAACAGACGAGGGACAGAGAAAGAGAGGCATATCAATCAACAGAGTCGGGGTTGATGCACGATGATAACAAAAACGTCATAAGAGACCCTGATACAGTCGAAGCCGCAGGATCGACCATAGAAGACCTCGATCCCGTCCAATTAGACAACAATGACCACAACAAAAAAGCTTACATCGGCTGCAAGCTTCAGGAACCAGGTAGATTTCTTCAATTCTTAACCTCTAACGCAGACTTGTTTGCTTTTAGCCATGCAGATATGCCAGGTATCCTGACGAAAATTGCCACGCACAAGTTGAACGTCGATCCATTCTATCCCCCAGTGAGGCAGGTTAGGCGTTAGTTTAACTCCGCAATGAATGATGTGGTACGCGAAGAGGTGGACAACGGCTCCATTAGGGAGTCGAAATACCTCCAATGGGTCGCCAACGTGGTCATGGTGAAGAAGGAGAATGATAAATGGAGGATGTGCGTAGACTTTAAAGATTTGAACAAAGCATGCCCCAAAGATTCATTTTCGTTACCCCATATCGACCAACTCATCGACTGAGCATGAACTTCTGAGCT